GAAGGCGCACAAGGTGGCCCAGATTGGCATAAGCCGCTCTGGCTTTCACTATTCGTGCATTGATCTCATCACTCACACCCCCACCAGCACTTATGCAGCTACCCAGATACACGAACTTCTCAACTACTTCTATCTGCTCACCATCCAGGGTGAGTACAGGATTAGAATCCTGCCAGTCTTGTAGAAGTACTTTGCACTTCGACGGTGCAAAGCACATACCATACCTACGGACACTGATGGCCAACTGATTAAGTGCGGATTGCATGCCTTGGGCATTATCGCACAGTAAGACAATTAATCTTAGTATACACTTTTGTACAACACCACAAAGGCTGCGTTGAGATCAATCTTATGACCTGTTTCGACTATATGTTTGGCAACAGAAGATGAAGAATGTGGAGAGTAAAAGTGTTGTCATATAAAAGCATACCCATTGTATAGAGATTCATGCATTAAAATATACGACTTTGTGGCAGATACAAGTAGACCAATATCAATAATCTTAATAATTACACGAAAATTTATGCCAGTAACACAACTTGATGATCTCGATATATTTTTTGAAACCAAAGGTATAAATTCATCGCGAAAACCAAAACAAGCTAGTGCTAATTCGATTAGTTTACTTATTTATTTACTATCTGAGGAAGTGGTACACTAATTCACGAAACACCAGAATTTCTCATTTTTACTCATTGAATATTACAAATATATTATTACTAAATATACTCTGCCGAATGTTCAGTTTATTTCAAACGAAGTCCAACTTTGGTAACGACACTTAAATAATAAACAAACTCTGATTTGAATATGCATCGAATTAGTGGAAAACAGAATTTCCAAACGCTTGATCACAAAAAAATTCCAGTTCTCAACAGCCTGATTAATAGTCATGCAAGCATTTGCCAAATAAAGAAGTAAACTGAAGACTTAACAATAATAAATTCAGCAACAAAAATAACATACAGCTTTATATATTTTTTTATGGACATACAGTACTGAAAGTAAACTAAAAAACAATTTTCTGAATGTTTGTATTTAAAATACTAGATACATAAACAGTTTCTTTAAATCAGTATTATATACACTAATGAATCAAAAATTAGCTTATAATATTTTTATTTACAACTAAGCGGTCGATCACATATTTCAGCAACACGCTTGATAAGATCGCTGATAGCGGGATATTTATCTAAAACAGGTTTTAGTGAAACGAAATATTCTGAAAACTCGCAAAATACAGTCCAATGTCCATACAAAAGGGCATCAACCTTCCCAGGTGTACTACGTTCAAATAGAAATGGGCCATTACCAAGTAGTTCAACAATACTGACACAAAGTGCTTCCATATCTTTCACGATATCACTTGTACTCATTTTATCCCAACCAATAGATTCCAAAAACGAAGATGTTGTTGTCGTTTTCGTTTGGCAATAAATCCAGTTAGCAAACGCGGTGTAGAAGATTTAAGACGTTCGTAAGTCAAATTCGAATAGGTAGATTCATGAAACCAGGTGAAATAAAGCATTACATTCCGTAATGTATCAGAAATCCAAAATAAGTAAGAATGTCGTAAACTGCGTGAAGTAAGTTTAGAACCATTAAGATTAATATCCTTATTGGCTTTTAATATACTCAAACGCAGACACAAAGAAGTGTAACCAGTCACAATAGAGCCATTAAGAATAGTAACAGGGAGTAAGTGATCAGGAGAACATGAATCAGCGTTTAAAATATGATCAACATGGAACGGTAATCTACTTCGAGACAAATAGCAAATGACAGAACGAGTTGCAGCTTCATCACAAGGAAGTATAAACTGGCGTGGGTGCGTTAATAAAAGAAGCTTTGACATTTGACCGAAGTTTAACTCTGGTATTTAAATTAGTATTTCAAGCTGTAATAAAATAAAAACAGGAAATGCAGTTACATTTACCTGTAAATACGAAAAATTCATAGACGACATGAGCCGGTCTATTATATTATAAATGGAAGAGACGACGTTCAATAAGTTAGTCTTCTTTTAAAATATTTATGCGTTACACAGAACCATGAAGGAAAAGCCTGACGAGCCGGCAGAGGATAAAATACTAACGGAATGTCACTAAAGTTGGCATATAAAAGATTCGTAGGCTATATATTGCTTTAGTCACATTACGTACACCAGTCATAAAAGGCATTCATGAAACCAGCAAACAAGTGCTAAATCCTATATCGGTCCCAAAAATAATCCGATTAGCTATGACAGACAGGTTTTCTATCATAATCGAATTTACGGAATGGTCCCAATATACATAAATTAAAGCACGTGATAGAAATTCTGAAAATAATTTGGCAAAAATGTATTATTTCCACGGCCGTTTTGTATTATAATCACATCAATAACCCTGTACTAAAACAACTACGAGTATTTCGACAAGCCAACATGCTATAAGCTTATATAATAGTTAATACGCAGATTCTCCTTAGTGTTTAAGAATAAAACTTAATGAACAACATAATATATGGACTCATGAGAATCATAAGCTTCACTACTGAAGAACGCATGATTGGTGTTGAGACGCTGAGGAAAAAAAGATTGCACCTCTGAGGCATAAATTGAACTGGACGCGGTCATCTGAAAATACAGAAAAGCACTGACCCACACTTGACTTTTACATGGCCGCTTTGCAACTTCCCGAGGTGTTAGTCAACAATTTTAAACTTAAAACATGTCAGTAGAGATTGTGATATTTCGGTGACAGTCGTTAACGTTTATCAAAGCCAACAAACTAGTTTAATCGGACTGAAGTTGATTAAGGTATTAAAAAATATTGACAATTTCTTTATGTATTATTTTTACAAGCTTAAGGACCCTCGAATTAGTTTTAGGCCTTTTATTTTGAGGGTTTGCTGCAAACCAGACTACATTTTTCCTATGTATAGGGCATAACGAGACAGTATGAAATGTCATGAGTTTATACAATTGTGCAACGAAACTTGCGCAACTCGGAAAGTAGGGAAAAACCAGGTGTACTGTAGCCTCAAATCGCACACCGACACATAAATTTTTAAAACTTTGTAAGGATGTTATACTTCCTTAGAAATAAATAACTATAAATTGTATATAATTCTTCCTGTTTAAGTGACGTTAGTCAGAACTTTGAGTGATATAATGAAACACTATGCAACAACAGTGCCTGGATTGAGCACACGATATCAATTAAATAAGTGATAGCCCAGTTTACAAAAACCTGCAACTTCCCAGACGTATTTACCAATATAAGTGATGTAGCTCGACAAGCAAATCATAATTTTTGGAAACTAAAAATACCATGAAATTATCTCGACCTCAGTAATTAATTTTTAGATAGATTCGCTTGCTACACCAAAGTCGAAAAAATAGGGAAATGCTCTAAACTTAAATGACGAAACTACTGATGACCTATACATGCGAAAATCTCATTTATTGCGCTCCAACACACCCTTGAACGATACCTTGAGCTAACGTTAAATGGACAATAAATAAGTGGATTCACATTCAGATTCATGTATTTTAAAAAAGAGCTACAACCTTCTTTAGTACTTTTCTAGTGATTCTGGTCTTCTCTTGAATAAGTGAGTTGTAAGAGGGACCAATTCTTCGGGTAACTTGTTCCAAGAATTAGTCGGCGTGAAAACTTGTATGTCACCGAGATTTTGTCCATTCCTGGCTTTCGTTCTCGCTTGGTACGTCCTTTGAGTCGTCCTCATTCAGTAGGTAGAGAGGACATCATTTCTTGATGATCTGTACATAATGATCAGATTATCCCATAATCCGTTGCAGGACAATGTAAAATGGTCTGGCCGGGAAAATGTTTAAATCTTGAAAAATGGTAAAACTAAAACCACCAGAGAAGTTTAAGAATCCTGAGGCTCGGGTCAAGCAACAATCAACAGACACCTCGGAACCGATGCATTTTATCAAACAATATAAAAAATCAGAGTATCGGACCAATAATCAAATTAAAGGGAGATACAATAAAATTGAAGAGTTAGACTATAACAGGAACAGGTCAAAAATAAACAGTCAAAACCGGGATCGATATGACAAGCTGTGGGTTGTATGTGAAGCAATTCGAACACTCCACTTCTACATGATGTTTATGCTGATGGTGAAGGATAATGAAAGCCTCACGATCAAACTATCAAGCTCATATAGCAAAACTCCACCTGAATCATCTAGTTGAACAAAAATATTATCCACCATCATTTTATTTGCTGTGTAACAAGTTGTTTGTTCCCATGAATTTTATCTTGGCCTTTCTGATTGTTTTTTCTTGTAATTAACTACAACACTAGTAAGACTGACAAGTCGGTAATTTGATGGAATTTTTCGTGATCCTGTTTATTGAATTAAAGTGATGCTTGCATCTTTGCGTCCATAGTTGAATTATCTTGTTTAACTAACATATTGGATATCATAGTCGATGAGGCAGCAATGTATTGTGCGGTTTGTTTCAAAATTTAGGGTGTAGTTAATCCGTTCCAGTTGATTTTTCCGCTTTTAAATCACTAGGGCCCCTATCACGTTGTCTTGATCAAGGTCCACAGTGGAAAGCTGATGTTAAATTTTCGTATATCGCTCTAGTCCTTCGTTTGAAAAATATCCCGTAATAGTCTGTCGTTGCCTCACCAGTGAAGTGAAGAACGGCAGTAGTATGGATTTCCTTGATGTCCTGATTTCTAGAAGAACAGACAGTCCTATAAAAGCTGGTGTATTTGGGAAAAAACATGGACAGATCAGTATTTACATTTTCATGACTTTGCATCTCTTCGATGCAAATTAAAATTGGATAAAACGGCAAGTCAAAATATTATGTTCCGAGGACAGTGTAGATGGCGACAAATAAAAACTAAAGCAGCTATTTTGAAATATCGTCAGTCCGAATTATTTCGGTTTCAGTCTAGAAAGGACAGCAGGCTGGGTGATTTGTATTAATTCTGGTAACAGTGGTCTCTCAGTTGATCCAACTTTCTTTTGAAAGCGCCGATAGATTAGGCTTCAACTAGGTGCTGAAGTAATGAATTTCATATTTCGATGATTCGACGGGGAAGTCGACAGTATGCTGATATGTAATCTGTTCTGGGCTTGTAAACCTTTGTAAAGTGTTCCCGTAAATTTTCAATTTTGGAAGACAAGAAGCATGTGGCATCTCGGATGCAAACTTATCAGCCGGTAACTTAAATCGTGATCACGTTCTTTCTGTTCCTCTGATACGACAATGGAAATACGTTCATTTTAGCCAGTCGAGCATCATAAGACAGCTCTGCCTTTTACAGGAACCAGCTTATTTGTGGTTCAATAAACTTTTATGGGCTTACTGAATACAAAGTCAAAAATGTTTTAGCGTCGACACGGCAGCTATCACACGTCAGTGTGCAGTAGTTCTAGAGTCTTGGCTTACGATTACTCCTGAGTAAATGTGTATCTGTAGCAATTTCGGTTGGTTAGTTGGGTCACTGTATATCGAACATATAATCGGTCCATGTCAAGGCCAAGGACAAGCAACGCTCATCAGTTGGTCGTATGACATGCACTGGCCAATGAGGTGGTGGTCTCGCTGTACTCATACTCTGTACTCATTTTTACTAGTGTATTTCTGTACTAACGTCCTTTGTGTTATACAGCCTTCAGAGCGGACTTAGTACTTTGATACGTCGAGGGGGGTATGCACGCTAGGTGCTGACCGCTAGGTGTGACTTCGAAGTTAGCTGCTCTGTGTAAATTAGCTCGACTGCTTCTGTGGAGCTACTTTTACAGTCTGTACTAGAGGGCTTTGTTCCTGCGTGTGGAGCAAAGTACATTGGCCGTACCCAGCACTCGCTTTCAGCTCGGATACGGGAACATATTCCAGCTTGGTTCTCCAAAGGGGGAAAGGAAAGCAGTTAGGAGTTCTATACTTGAACACCTAATCGGCTGTAACCATTCTACAGATCCGAAAAATGAATTTAAGGTTGTTTGTATGATTCGTTCAAATCCACCCAGATTTCTTCGCATTCAACTTTTAAAAATGGCCGAAACTCATTCCATCCAGGAGCTTAAACCAGAACTATGTGTACAAAAGAAGTACATCTTATCGCTATCGTTACCTTGACCTTAAGCATTTTGATTATCCAATTATTATTATTGCTGCATTCCCCCTTTACTTATGTCTTATATTCTCATTGTTTCATTCGTGGATACTCATCATATCACCTTATTTATTTTTACACCTCTATGACCATTACTTATTATAACAAAAACATTTAAATCATTTTAATCATCGTATTATATTCACAAAATCTATTGTTATTGTTCGTATTACGTAATCTAGTATTATAACCTTTTTTATTAACTGTGTTCACATTTCCTCACGGAATTAGTACTTTTACAAAAACAAACTTTTCATATATATACGATCGATAATAAATTCGTTGAACATCTAGTTGAACAAAAAATATTATCCACCATCATTTTATTTGCTGTGTAACAAGTTGCTTGTTCCCACGAATTTTATCTTGGCCTCTCTGATTGTTTTTCTTGTAATTAACTACAACACTAGTAAGACTGACAAGTCGGTAATTTGATGGAATTTTTCGTGATCCTGTTTATTGAATTAAAGTGATGCTTGCATCTTTGCGTTCCATAGTTGAATTATCTTGTTTAACTAACATATTGGATATCATAGTCGATGAGGCAGCAATGTATTGTGCGATTTGTTTCAAATTTAGGGTGTAGTTAATCCGTTCCAGTTGATTTTTCCGCTTTTAAATCACTAGGGCCCCTATCACATTGTCTTGATCAAGGTCCACAGTGGAAAGCTGATGTTAAATTTTCGTATATCGGTCTAGTCC